TCAAAAATTGAATGTTCAGATTTTGTCTGGGAAAACCTCTAGTCCTGTTCCTATTGATCTCATGTGCAAAATTTTATAAAAATATTCCTTCATTAAAGGTACACAATAGAAAAGATAGCCGTGTAAATTAATGTTTTGTTGAATATTATTGAAATCTTTAAATACATTTTTTTATCTGTAAATCCATTTTGAACACAACGAGAAGTCTTTTCAATGAGGTGTACTCTTTATGTTTTTTTTGAGAATCTGATCAGTTGTTAAATTTATCAACTAATTAATGTTCTGTATATGAAAAATATTTATAAATTTCCAAATACAGATAAAAAAACAGAAATTTTACTTCATAGCATTTTTAGAAATTTGTTACATTTTAATAGTTAAATTTTTATAGTGCTTAATTATTAATTACTTAGCTGCAGCCCACTTACTTATTTTTTCTATCTCAGAATTCCTTGTAATTTGCCACCAAACCGCCATTTTGTATGTTTATCACTATTAGACTACCAAATTAATTATTTTAACTAAAATTTTTTATTTTTAACAATTTTGCAGTGGAATATCTCAATTGTGAAAAGTCAGTATACATTTAAGTTGTTATTTTGTAATATAAATTATGTAAACTACTTTGAATTTTATTTTATATAAATTTATATCTCTAAACTCAAAAAAGATACTGAATAATGGATATCACTGAATATATACTAAATGAATAAAATTTTATAACTTTTGCAATTCACATCATGCTTATTGCATAACTTTATTTGTATTTTTCTAGATTAATAAATATCAGAAAATGTCACAATCAAAACCTGCAACTAGATCTGTCACCGAAATTTACCTTCTCGGTTTCACAAATGCCTCCATTAATGGTACTAGACTATTGTTACGAAAGCAAGCATTACAGTTTTCTTTTAATCAGTTGAAAATAAACAAAAAAACCGTGCGAGAAAGTTCGGACATTACTATTAAAACAGTTGCTGATTTTTGGAACAAAGCTTACATGCCAATGACAACATTGCAACATGCAATTGCGAGGCTAGAGAAAATATACAACGAGTGGAGAAATCCACAAAAGGCTTCAAAAAGAGGAGGAGCAACTCAGATAGCGAAAGAAACAGCCTTTGTTGCATCATTTGAAGATACGTTCGACATTTCTCATGTTGATGCCGAGAGGATTATACAAAATCCAGAAGACAAACTTTTTCTTAAAGCTCAGCTTGGAAATGGAAGACACTCAAGTTCAATGGCACAAATAGACGGAAAATTGGCAGTCAAGTTGAAGCGTAAACATGAGACAAGAGGCTATAAAAGCCAGAACAGAACGAGAAGAATTGAGACATGCTGTCAGCAACGGTGAAGCTGTAGTTGAAACATTTGAATCAGATTCAGAAAAAAGTTGCAATGAGAACGTAGATTCTGACCATGACTCAGTTGTGACACCGCAGACAAAACGACCTCGTCTAAAAAATATTGTCAGTCCACAAGTTGCAGCAGCTTTAGATCGAACTAAGATCAGCGACCGAAATGCGGTTTATGCTTTAGCTTCATTCTCAGTTGCTGTTGGTCAAAATCCAAGTGAACTAGCTCTGAATCGCTGGTCAATTCGTCGCAATAGAATAAAACATAGAGACGAAACAATTTTGAAATTGAAGAAAAGTTTTGGTGAAAATATTAGGGATGTTCCACTCGTAGTGCATTGGGACGGCAAGTTACTCCCTGATATATCAGGAAAACATGAAAAAATAGATCGCTTGCCTATTCTTGTTTCGGGTCAAGGTGTAGAACGTCTATTGAATGTGCCTAAGTTCCCAAATGGCACTGGAGAGGCAATGGCAAATGCAGTTGTAACAGCAATCTACGACTGGAATCTTGCAGAGAATATAAAAGCCATGTCTTTTGACACTACAGCCAGTAATTCTGGGATTCGCTCTGGTGCAGCAGTTCTTATCGAACAAAAGATGAATAAAGAGCTGCTCCATCTTGCATGTTAGCACCATGTTTTTGAAGTTGTTCTTGGAGATGTGTTTAACTCATTAGCTGGACCATCTACTGGACCAGACATTTTGATGTTTAAAAGGTTTCAAACAGCATGGCCATTAATCGTTCGTGACAGATATGAAGACGGTATATCAGATCCTGAAACAGCTATAGTTTTTAGCAGCAACAGAGAAATGATGAAAGAAGCTATTGATTTCATTCAGAACTGCTTGCTGACAGAGAACCAGCCTCGTGATGATTATAGGGAACTTTAAGAACTGTCTTTGATCTACCTGGGTCATATTCCTCCTCGCGGGGTTCATTTTATGGCTCCTGGGGCTATGCATCGGGCCAGATGGATGGCCAAGGCTATTTATTCAATCAAAATATTTCTCTTCAGATCCCAGTTTCGCATGACGAAGCGTGAAATAAATTAATCATGTTTCTTGAATATTTTTGTCTCAACTCATGGTTTACTGCTTCGCTATCCATTCAATCTCTACTGAATGATCTCATGTGCCTT